ATTCAGGCATTTTATTATTATTCCTTTTATCATAGGATCCATAGAGTTACTTGGAGCTATGGCATATTGCGCCCCCAAACAACTTTCATCCTGTTTGCCTAGCATTGTCCCAAAGCTCATTGAAGTTCTTAGCGATTCTCATATGAAAGTACAAGAAGCTGGTACCGAAGCTTTAAGAGTAATTGGATCTGTTATCAGAAACCCTGAAATACAAGGTAAAAACATTAAAACGTTAATTTTTAAATACAGTATGTTCACTTAACACCGAAATACTGTATTTTAATTAAATAAATACCTAGTTCAAATAGTACCGTTTAAAAATACGTGATAACAATTTTTAATATTTTTTCAGCTATTGTGCCAGTATTATTGGAAGCACTCCAAGATCCATCTCACAAGACATCGGCGTGTTTACAAACTCTTCTAGATACTCAGTTTGTGCATTTTATCGACGCGCCGTCCTTAGCTTTAATTATGCCAGTGGTTCAAAGGGCGTTCCAAGATAGGTCAACCGAAACGCGCAAAATGGCTGCACAGATTATCGGCAACATGTACTCATTAACTGATCAAAAGGATCTGACACCATATTTGCCTACTATTATCCCAGGTTTGAAGATGTCGCTCCTCGATCCTGTTCCAGAGGTGACTATCGATTTAATAAACACATTTATATAGTTTTTCATTTGGTCAAAATTCTTGTGTGCTTTTAGGTTCGAAGTGTCAGTGCCAGAGCTTTAGGAGCTATGGTTCGAGGAATGGGAGAATCTAGCTTTGAGGACTTGCTACCATGGCTGCTACAAACTCTCACTTCGGAAAGTAGTTCGGTGGATCGCTCGGGAGCTGCTCAGGGTCTTTCAGAAGTGGTCGGAGGTCTTGGAGTTGAAAAACTCCATAAACTTATGCCAGGTATGTTTATTTAATAATTTAATGTACAGTTCAAGATCAATGCAAACATTGGTGCAAAAAAGGTTTTATTTTTTACAATTAAAACGATATCAACGTTTTATCCTCTGATATGAAACATTGTAAAGGTAGGTTTTTGAGTCTTTAATTCCTTTTTATGCAAAAGCCTATCTTGATTAAACCTTTACACAATAGATGAAACCTTGGCGTTGGTTAAAAGAAAGGAAATAAACTCTTTTTTGCCCCAATGCAGCTTTTAATTTTGCACTGAATAGTAAAACAATTCATTAAAATTGATGAACTGCGAACATCACATATCCTTAGACCCGCTATTTGCAAACCTATTTTATTAGCGACCCCTTACACACTACGGACAATTGGGAAATATCACATAGTCGTAAGGTGCACTCACTAAAATGAATTAATTCAAAAAATACTACATTATATTCACAATTAAATTGTAGTGCTTGAATATAATGAAATGATTTTAAAAAACAGGAACATGAAAACAAGTGAAATCTAGTTTGAATTAATTTTAGGGTTATTAAAAGGCGCCGAAACATGTTTTAAAAAATACTGAAACTAAAAACTATCTGCTATACGTACTAACTATAGCAAATAACATAATTTCTGTTTTGAAATCTTCACTTAAATTAATCAAAAAGCATAATACTTTTAATCCTTTCAATAAACACTGTTTAACTTTCACATCAAATTATAATGATTCTATTTTTAACAGAAGTTAGTCAGTATATGTAAATTTACTAATTATTTTTTTTTTTTTGTTAGAAATCATAGCGACTGCAGAAAGAACTGACATCGCTCCGCACGTGAAAGATGGTTACATTATGATGTTTATATACATGCCGGTTGTATTTCAACAGGAATTCACCCCGTATATAGGTCAAATTATAAACCCGATTTTAAAAGCGTTAGCTGATGAAAACGAATATGTAAGAGATACGGCACTGAAGGCAGGTCAACGTATTGTTAATCTTTATGCCGACTCTGCCATCCTCCTTCTTTTACCTGAATTAGAAAAAGGATTGTTTGATGATAACTGGAGAATTCGTTACAGGTAAGCTGTTTTACTTTTTTAGGCATTTGATACGTGATAGAAAGAAAGAATAATTAACTTGCAATCTGCTAATCATGAAAGTTAACGTTTTAGAGATTATTATATATGTAGTTAAGAAAGTTATACATTACAATTATTGTTTTTTTTTTAATATTATGCTATCAGCAAATATAAATGCTAACTTAGTAACTATTACTTCTGTTATATAGAATATTGCTACTGATACTTTTATTTTATCCTAACTCAATTTGACTAGTACTTTCAATATGTTATGGATTAATAAACATTGAGGCATCAATAAATACCTCTTAGGGAAAGATTAATTTGTATTTATTTGTTTATTCTTTTACTTATTGAAAATATATTTCAGTTAATCTGAAAAATCATATCTTAAAAAAAAAACTGAATTTTGCAGGCTTATAAAGTTTTCAGTAAATAACCGCATACTGCTAATTGTCCAAAACTTTAAAAATAGAAAATCTCTATTTCACATAAATATATAACAACTGCACTGATATATTTGTATATTCTTAATCTAGTTCGGTACAACTTTTGGGTGATCTCCTTTATCGTATTTCTGGTGTCACTGGAAAAATGAGTACAGAAACAGCCAGTGAAGATGATAACTTTGGTACCGAACAATCCCATCAGGCCATTATCCGGGTGTTGGGGGCAGAGAGACGTAATCGTGTACTCGCTGGTTTGTATATGGGTCGGTCCGATGTAGCTCTGATGGTGCGACAAGCTGCATTGCATGTATGGAAGGTAGTAGTTACGAATACACCTCGAACACTAAGAGAAATTATGCCGGTTCTTTTTGGTCTTCTCCTAGGATGCCTTGCAAGTGAAAGTTACGACAAAAGACAGGTGAGTTCTTTTTTTTTACTGAAGCATTTAATTTTTTCTTTCTGGAAATGTTTATTTAAAAAACTGACGAAGATATTCTTAGTTATAAATAAGGCATTATTTTTCTTATTGAAGGTTGCTGCTCGAACTCTTGGTGACCTAGTGCGGAAGTTGGGTGAGAGAGTGCTGCCTGAAATTATTCCTATCCTTGAAAAAGGACTTCAGTCGGAACGATCTGATCAAAGACAAGGTGTCTGTATTGGCTTGTCAGAAATAATGGCATCTACTTCAAAAGAAATGGTATTGACGTTTGTCAATTCGTTGGTACCAACTGTACGAAAAGCTCTATGTGATCCCCTGCCAGAAGTAAGACAAGCCGCCGCAAAGACGTTTGATAGTTTACATTCTACTGTAGGTTCAAGAGCTTTGGACGATATTCTACCAGCTTTATTAAACCAATTGGTAATTATATTAACTTGTTTATCATAAGCTGCTGAAAGAATTATGAGTAAATGTTTAAAAGAACTTATTAAGAAGTCTGTCAAGGGAATAAATAGGTCGAAAAACGACAAATTTAATGTACTGCCAGAAAGACTGATACCGTAGTTATTAAACTCTAATATTTCATCTTTCATTTTTGAGCAATACCAGGATTATATTATTAAATGTATATACATATTTACACCACAATGACCAATCATAGACAACGCTCCCTTTTTATTTATTGCCTTCAGACGTTGTANAACAGTGGACAGCAGAATAGTTAGTCAGTAGCTGTTACCTTAACAATAAAATTTAAGTATGTAAGTTAGTCGATTACAAAGTAACGTTTTTTTAGAACTCTGAGAAAAATTGTTATAAGTGTTTGCTTAATAAGTTTTAATGATATCGGCTATTAAGAGATCATTTTACAAGATAAGTCAGAAAAAATTGGCTGATTGATTTTATTATCTAAACTGTTGGAGGGCCAACAAAACGACGTCTAACAAAATTGTTGTTATATATATAATTGCAAAATTTTTGCTATGCAAATTTTCGATATAATTTTAGGTACAACAAGTGGCCGAATTCAAAGTCAAGCAGTCGCTTGTTTACTGGATGTGGCTGCATCTGCGAATGGAAAAGAAAATTGTTCCAAAGCCTCACTAGCGGAGATTGATGTTCTATTGGGAGCTATTCAGAATCCTAAGGATACTGTTAGAGATGCTGCTTTACGAGCTATCAGTGAAATGGCCTCTTCAATTCCTAGCTACAAAGAAAACTATGAAGAGGCTATAAGAATCAACAAAAGAATATGGATAGCTAGATTCGATGTAAATGAAGATAACAGGTAATATTGGAAATAAGTAATATATTAAATCTACAATTTTATGCATCAAATTGTCAGAGATTTGGCACAGCTGTTGTGGGAAAATGCAAATTTGAGTTTTCCTTCGGAATTCTGCGAAGAACTTTTGAAGGACATAGAACATCCCGTCGAATGTGTACAGACTGCAGCTGCCCAAGCGTTGGCTTCGTTATTAGAAAAAGACAGAAAGCAGGTGCAACCCANCTGGCACAGCTGTTGTGGGAAAATGCAAATTTGAGTTTTCCTTCGGAATTCTGCGAAGAACTTTTGAAGGACATAGAACATCCCGTCGAATGTGTACAGACTGCAGCTGCCCAAGCGTTGGCTTCGTTATTAGAAAAAGACAGAAAGCAGGTGCAACCCATACTAGAAAAGCTGTTATATCTTTACAACGAAAGATTGCAAGTAAGATTTGTTTTTAAGATTGTGTATGTTGCTGTATACGTTTTATTGATTGACAATTTTGAAATATTAAATGTATGAGCGTATTATAGCAACTTGCAACAGGTGCTACTTTAGTAGGCTATCGCATATGAGTATTAATTTCAAATATAAAAAACTAAATGCGTATTATTATTTTTTCGAGCACTATACTTTTTTATTTTGAATTAAAGAATATAATTTATTGAATCTATAGGCGATGGATAAGAAACGAAATAAAATAAAACTAAAAATAAATAAAACTTATTAAAAATGATAACATTTAACCATTTTTTGAAACCGTTAAACCCATTTTTAAAAATGCTTATTTTTACTTTTCATTTGATTTTTAATATTTGACATTTGTTTTATTACTAATTTTTAACAGCATCACTAAATTAAATTTGTAGATGTGTTTCGTTTTTTACTTTTTTTTTTTCAAAACTATTTTCGCATTGCAACTGCACTAAATATAGTAAATAACTAATTATTTAAAATTTGATTTAGTGAAGCTACTAAAAATTAAATTAGCAGTGAAACGAAGTAAACGCTAAACAAAAAAATACTGCGTTTTTAGGAGCGTGTGATTTTTAAAAGTTAAAAAATGGTTAAATTGTGTTGTTCTTAATTGGATTTCAAATATCTTTAGTTTTATTTTATTTCTTTCGATATTTATTACAGCTTCACTAAATCAAATTTACATATTATCTCACGAAAGAATAAACGGGTATGGATCTATCAGCGAACTTCATGTACCTTTCTTAAATCGACTAACAAAAATAAAGACAAGCATAGAAGAGAATAGTGAACTAATAAATGACATATGACTGTAGAATATAATTAGATAAACGTAGCATTGAAAAAGGATAGCGCTATGAGCTGTCAATCACTGCTAGATCGAATTGGGGGCATTACTAGTACCTAAGAGCGTATGAATCAACGCTTTTTCTTGACTCCGTCTAGAATGACGCAAGTTCATTCTTTCCTGGGATGGGTAATATGTATCTTAGGTAGTTAGTTAAATAATATTGTAAACAAAAACGTAACTTTTTTCACCTTAACTTCCGAAATTCCCTATTACCGTTTTCAAAATAAATTACAATTTTAATGTTTGAAGATGATTCCACCAAAGCTGGATGAGTTTGGGAGAGAAGTTGAGAAGTCGATTGATACTTGGGGACCTCGTAGAGGTGTAGCAGTGGCTTTAGCTGAGATTTCACCTCTTTTAGAACCAGATACAATAGGCAGTCTTATACAATTTTTCGTCTCAATATCTCTCGCTGATCGAAAAGAAAAAGTTAGAAAAGAAATGCTGAACGCTGCTTTGAAAATAGTCGATCTTCATGGAAACGTAAGTAAAAACTGTCTTTATTGGATACATTTTTGATATTGTACACCCAAGTAATCAACTCTAAAATAGCTTTCCAAAAAAACTTTGTTTACAAAGTAAATTTTTTACATTCATTATTTTTTTTTTAAATATGTGTTTATTATATTTTTTTGCCATCCAATAGAGCATACGTAATCCTAAAATGTAGCATCGTACTACAGATGGCGTTTACCGCGCCATTTGTGGTATTTTCTAAAACGCATTGTTAAGACAGCAGGTAAAAGTTGGTCTG